AAGAACTCAGTTGCTAATCTGAAGTTGGCTGTGCTTAAGAAAGTGGCTTTGCTAGTGAGGGACCCTGTGATCTGTTGCTATAGAGATTGTAGCCTTGAAACCCCCGGGATAATCTCATGCCATCAAGGAGTCTATAACTGTGGCTATAGAGATTGTAGCCCTGAAACCCCCGGGATAATCTCATGCCATCAAGGAGTCTATAACTGTTGCTATAGAGATTGTAGCCTTGAAACCCCCCGGGATAATCTCGTGCCATCAAGGAGTCTATAACTGTGGCTATAGAGATTGTAGCCTTGAAACCCCCGGGATAATCTCATGCCATCAAGGAGTCTATAACTGTTGCTATAGAGATTGTAGCCCTGAAACCCCCGGGATAGTCTCATGCCATCGAAGGGTCTATAAGAGTCCAAATGAACTTGATCTGGAGAACTTTGGGTTTTATTCTGAGACAAGTGGGAAGACATTGGTGGTTTTGAATAGTAGAGTAAGCCAGAGTCTTTTTTGCAATTCATTTAACTTTCCATTGTGATCTGGGTAAAATATATATGGGGTGGGGTGGGGTGGGTGGTGGTGGTGGTATTCCATTCAACAATTCATACGCATTTTGATTTGTCTTTATAATGTTAACAGCACTTTTCCCTCTTCCTAAGTTTACTTCCTCTGTCTTCTTTCTTGTCTCTTCCTACTTTCTGAGCCTTATGGTCTAATGTTGCCCTTTTGATTTCCTATAGTGGTTGTCTTTGGGGCTGTGTACTTCCCTGGTGTTGTTGTTTATCGTATAGGTCTGCATTGTTAGGCTGCAAGTTGAGATACTGGGATAACTTTAGTTCTAGGATTGATGGGCATCTACGGACTATTGCCTTGGAAATTCCATCAGTTTCTGTTAGACCTGATCTATTTTATGATTTTGGGTTTTGTCCCACATTTTCTTTTCACTGTATGAAGGATCTACTATTGTGATCCCCTTCCAAAAGAGCCAGTAGTGGTGACAATTTCGTCTAGTTCTTCTGCCCCCAGAGCCATGACGGCTGGAGTTCATATGACCCATGAGTTCATTGCACTAATTATTTCCATTAACATCTTTGGTTTCTTCACTCTTTGCTCCAGATAGAAGAGAAAAATAGTTGTACCTAAGTTGGCCACTTACAAGCTTTTAAGGTCCCAGCAGCTACTCACTAAAGTAAGGTGTAAAACATTATCTTTATGTTATGTGAATTGACTTTGATATTCCTCCAGACCCAACAACTCATTCTTTTAAGATATTTAGTATGAGTTAAACGTTTTCTTAACTCACCCAGAATAAACATCATATCAATGTGAATGAGGGGAAGCATTGCAAATAAGGGGCAGTGCGGAGTGGAGACTCAAAACCCATCTGTAGACAATTGGACATCCCCTTACAGAAGCATCCCCTGGAAGAGATGAGACAGTCAGGGTGCAGTATAGTACCAAGGAAACATACAACTTTCCTCTAGCTCTCTAATGCTCCCATCCCCCCACTATTATGACCCCAATTCTACTTACAAATCCAGCTAGAACAGAGCATGTACATAGGTACAGATAAGAGCTGGAAACACAAGGAATCCAGGACAGATAAACCCCTCAGAACCAATAATGAGAGTAGTTATACCAGGAGGAGAAAGGGAGGGGGAGCAGAGAAAGGGGCAACTGATCACAATGATCTACGTATAACCCTCTCCCAGAGGGATGGACACCAGAAAAGTGGGTGAAGGCAGACATCGGACAGTGTAAGACATGAAAAAAAAATTATAAATTATCAAGGGTTCATGAGGGAGGGAGGGGGAAAAAGGAGTTGCTGATACCAAGGGCTTAAGTAGAAAGAAAATGTTTTGAAAATGATGATGGCAACAGTATGTACAAATGTGCTTGATACAATGGATGCATGGATGGTGATAAGGGCTGTACTCGCCTCCAATGAAATGATATATAAAATGTTTTCTTAATACTTCTCCCTGTATGTTTTAGTATATTCCTGGATATATTGCCAGAAAATGTAGGTATATAGCTAGGAACAGCATCTATTAATATATATATATTAATAGTGTTATGCCAGGATGTCTACAGAAACAAGTGCAGTATCACTTGTATATGGATTACAAAGATCTTTATGTCAAGAAGTATGTATGTATCAGGAAGGTATCCCAGCCCAGTCCAGCTAAAGTCCAAAAGTTTGGTGTTTGTCCATGTAGCCGTATGCTGTGACACAGAATGGTGAACCAGGAAGTAGAACATCACAGGTCTGTAGGTGCACAGTCAGTGGATCCAAAGGTTGGAGGAAGCTTGGCAGGGCACTGACAGCTCTCAGGTCCCCATGTAGGCCACTCCTGGACACTGACAGAGTCCCAGTGAAGTACTAGTGAGGAGGAGGGTAGAGTGGCAGAGAATCGAGAGAGTGATAGGAGAGAGAGAGAGAGAGAGAGAGAGAGAGAGAGAGATCGTCTTTTTTCACCTTGCTCTTATACAAAACGCTGATGACATCGAGAAGGTGTCATCTGGCTGTGACTTGATAGACAGGTTTAAGTACACCCTTACCCAGGAGTGTCTAGTTGGCACAATCCCTAACTACCACAGAGATCTATCTCATGTGCCTGCCCATTCCTATTTAGCTTCATGTCTATCTACATATTCACTTGTATATTATTCCTGGGTTGTGTTTGTTATAGTCGGAGAGAGCTCCCAAATCTTCATGAAAATATTTCATTATCTTGTAATTCCATTTTCCACAATGTTTTTGAAGCCTCCTGGTATTTACGTTTGTTGCCTTAAACTTGTGCTTCCAATAAAAATAAAAAACAAAAAAAACCTCTCAAACTCATTGCCATGAGTAGACTCTGACTTACAGTGACCATATAGGACAGAGTAGACCTGCTTCTATAGGTTTCCTAGACTGTAAATCTGACCGTATAGGACAGAGTAGAACTGCCTTGTAGGTTTCTGTAAATCTTTCTGTGAGTAGTGCTTCATCTTCTCCCATGGAGTAGCTGGTAGTTTCAAACTGCTGACCTTGAGTTTAGCAGCCCACCACATCAGTCACTGCACCATCTTGGCTCCTGAAGAGCTAACAGAAGGAGTTAAAAGAAAGAGGAGAACAAAAAGAACAAGCGTGGAACAACACTGGCTCTCGTGCTAGCTGCCGAAGAGGACAGCAGTGGGAACCCGGTACTCCTCCTCGAAGAAAGGGTGCGTTGCTGACTAGCTATGGGGCTGCAGCAGGACGCCCTCTCCATGGAATAAGAAAGAACCAAACAGACAAACAAATAAACAAAACCTAGAGGGAGTGATGGAAAGGGGGGAACAAGTGGGGGAGTGGAAGAAATGAAAAATGAAAATGAAAAAAAAAAATCCCCACTGACAGTTCAGCTGGGGATTTGACTAGCTTTCTGGGTGGGTGAGGGTGAGTGTCTCCCAGTGGAGTGACTGGGAGGTTCTGCTGCATCGTAGGGAAGGTCACATGGACAGCAGTACTGGTGTAGTCCTGGGTTTAAGGTTTGGTTACCTAGTTCTTGCCTAATTAGAATACTACTTGCAATAAATCCCAGTAGCCCAGCCCACTGGCCGGTCACGGGCCGTGCTGTTTTCATGCCGTCTCGTCCTCTGTTTCCTTCCCTTTGGAGCGCTGCATCCCAGGACTTTCATCTGCATCCCCTTTGCTTGGTTTCTCAGTTCTTCATTGTAGAAGGTGTGGATAATATGTCTGCCGACTCTGCCATTCTCCCTAAACGTGTTAACTTTTTTATTAGAATAAAATGAGGTATTTTTTATGGATAAGATGTATCATATCTTTTGTATTCATGAGAAATTATGACAGTCTGACTTAACAAGTTACAACAAACCATATTTAACACCATCCTTCATATATATATATGCGTGTGTGTGTGTGTGTGTGTGTATATACACATATCATACTCTTACTAATAATATGTACTGCATACAATGTTGCAGCATAGTATTTGCTGATGTTGGTAACATTCTCATGCCAACTCCAAACAATAAATAAGATCAGGTCTATAAGTATACTATCAAAAGATACTAAAGACAACTATAAAGACATGTATTCTACAGAAGTCAGAACTACTTTATGATGGAGTCCTTGGGTAGAACCCCATCATAACTCAGGATTACTCTATTGGGGATGGCATGTGAAATGGAAAACATTCTTTTACTGTAATTTATATGTAGAATATTAGCAATGTGTGCAAGAATATATCAAAGGATACTACTTGATATTGCTGGAAGCACATCTTGAGAACTCAAACCTGATGAAACATTTTGTTATATTTCAATCAATTCAAGGCTGTCCAGGCAGTAAATATGTTTTAAGGCAAACACATTTACATCTCTCCTGAGTTGTTATGATCATTTTGCAACCTTCTGCCCCACCTTATTTTTTACTTAACATTAAAATTTAATGTGTTTTACTGTTAATTACATTTTCCCCTGAGGCCCAAAAATAGTAGGTATATTTTAGAAGTATAAATATAGTAGCATTCTGTAAAAATGCATGCCTAAGTTTCACAAAATTAACAAGAATACCTAGAGTTCATATTCTATTTTATGATGTCATAACATATTCACATCTAATGAAAGAGAATATTGATTTGCATCCTACTTTTTCAAGCTAGGATTTTGTCTCCTTGATTTTGTGTTTTATAAAGCCAGATAAATGCTTTGTTCCCAAAGGGCAGTGCTGTTCCCCAGTCTAGCAGGTGTAGAATTGTGCACAGTAGCTTATTTGGTAGCGCAGAGTTTAGGAGAACGTCCTTAGTCGGTCCAGTACTTTCAGTCTCATACCATGCCATGCACAGTACTTTCAGTCTCATACCATGCACTAATAACAAGTAATTGGACTATGATAATTTTACTTGCTTTGAGCTCCTTTAGTGTCTGTTTGTGTCTCTCTTTGTGTGTAATCTATATATATTCTCAGCAGAAATTTGGAGAGCAATATTCCAATACTTTCCGTTTATATTATTTTGCAGGTGCATTTCCTTGCTTACAATTCAGTATCTTTTGGTGAGAAAATGGAAGACCTCAGGCAAATCAGGGAACTTGCAAAAGAAGTGAAAAAAAGAAATATTTTACTATATGGCCTTCTCATATGTTACCCACAGGTAGGTAAATATTGGTCTTTTTGGATTGTGTGATCTGTAGAATGTGATGTTAACCTGATTTTGTCACCAGCAAAGGGATCTTAATGGCAAGGAAATTTCTGTATGGAAATGTACTAATTTATTGATATGCTTTAATGGGTAGAATATCTTCACTCTAGTAGAAAAACAAAATAGAAGCAAGTGTTTTAACTAGAAAAAAACCCAGATGAATATTGGCTAATAACTTATATAAGTTACATTTTGTAGCTCCCGTAAGGCTGCCAGATAAACAAATTAAATACAAGATGACCAATTCTATTTTAGTTCTATATAGACAATATTTTTTGTTGTAAGTATATTCCAAATTTGGAATTTGAAATTTATATTTGACTGAAGGTACTGCATTGTACTTGGCAAGCCTATTATTACAATTCTTGTTCAGTTTTATCATTTGAAATTGCCTACTTATTTGATGTTATATCCAAGATGTTGGTGGTCAAGTTGTCTCATTCCTCCCACTCCCAGAAGTTATTTAATTACTTGAAAGTAATGCTTGGCATGGCGATGAAAAGCGGCATGGTATTTAACTAGAGAAAAACAGTTATTATCACTGCTTTTAATAGCGGCAAATTAGTTTAGCTGGAGAAAACATGAATTAGCATTATAGACTCTTTGTATAGAGAAATGTAAGGCTATTTGAAGCAAGCTCTTTGGACAAACTCCTGCAGAAGATAGGTTTTCCCTGTGAGCAGAGCCAGCTTTCCTCGGGTGTGTAGATTGCGCTGTAGTTTTTATAACACTATCATGCAGAAGCAAGCAAGTTAACTGGCAACAGCTGTTTTAGTGATCTGAAATAAAAGTGATTTGGTGCTGACAATCTAAGAGATAGCGGGCATTTGGAGTTGTATATGAGTGCTGTATCACAGCTATTATTTATGAAATATGTAAATTACATGTTAAGCCTGAAATCATATTACTTTATTTGAATGACGTGGACTTTAATTATATGTAAGGATTACCTTGTACTTAGTCCCATAGTTTACCTTGTTTGGAGGCTAACCCTTCTGCTTCTGTGTTATACTGGCATGATCTCAGGTAAGGACATTTTAGTTTGCTTTTTATCTTGGAATTATAAAATATCTATGATTTAGAGCCTCTTGAATTTAATGCAACCAAGTTTCAAAGAGATACATTATACCTGCCTATGGACAGATAATGAGCAGAATAAAAAGAATAAATCAGGCCAATATCCTAGTTCAGAAATCATTCCTCTTCAGTAACTTAATTTTGTTTGAACTTTGCATTATTGTGGTAGAAAAAAAAAAACCTTTCTTGTGCCATGCAAAGGGACCCTGGATACAGACTGGTAGCACCGCATTGAAGAAGTATAAGATAGAGCTTACTGTGAACAGTTTCCAGGTACTGAAGAGCACATTCATTCCTGGAACGTGTGTCCGCCACCTGGGTCAGGTTGATGTTTGCATGCACCACAATCGATGTGTCTCTAGAAAAGAGTGCTTGCTGCCAGGTGAAATACAAGATGTTAAAATTTAATTTCAGATAAAAATGAATTAGTGTTTACTTTAAATATGTGTGTGGGACAAATTAACCTTGGCAATCCTAGTAGAGTGTTCCTATATCCAGAATGCTTTATATATTTATGGCGGACTCTGGAGCTGTGAAAGCTCCCTCATTGGAAAAGTGGGCTGGAAGAAATGGACCAGCCTTTGCAGTCCACCGTCTGGGAGCCAGGTGTTCTTATTTTGAACTAACACTGACCTGCTAACCCTACTCTCTACTGCGACAGCTGTGAGGATGTTTGCCTGCCAGGATTTAAATTTATGTGTCTCATCATTTTAGCAAGCAGATGATGGGTTACTTGGATATGCTTTGCCTATTCTTGTAAAAATATGAGTGAAGAGGCTTCAAATATGTAAAACTGTATCAAATTGAGATCCTAATGTTTACCTTGATGATAATGTGTTGATGCTCACCAGTCTGACATCCTGTCCAATGCCTCTTGTTGTTGTTGTTAGATATCATCAATTTATATCTGAATCACAGTGACCATGTGTACCGAAGAACACAACGGCCCCGTTCTCACAACTGTTACAACTGTGTGTCAATTCATCCCTTCAAAAGGCTTCCTCATTTTATTTCCCCTCTCTGTTTACCAAGCATGGTGCCCTTCTTCAGGCATGGAGCCCTCCTTCCTGATCACGTGTCTAGTCTCCATGTCCTTGCTTGTAAGGAACATTCTGCTTGTACTTATTCCTGGCAGATTTGTTCTTTCTTCTGCAAGTCCATGGTACGTTCAATGTTGTTCACCAGCATCATACTTCAACTGCATCCATTCCCTGGCCTTCCTTATTCATTGTCCATGTTTCTCATGCATATGTGTTCACTGAAAATGCCAAGGCTTGTGCCCAGCACACCTTGGTATTCAAACTTCTATCTTTGCTTTTAAAATTTTAAAGGAATCTTGCAGCAAATTTGCCCAATGAAATATGTTTTTTAACTGCTATTTCCTGGAGTGTTAGTTGTGTGTCCAAGTAAAATGAAATCCCTGACAACTTCAGTCTTTTTTTCCGTAGCATGATATTGTTTATTTATTCAGTTGTGAGAATTTTTATTTTCTTTACGTTGAATTATAATGCACAATGTACTCTTTGATCTTCAACATTAAGTGCTTCAAATCCTCTTTGCTTTCAGCATGCAAGATAATGTCATCTGGTGGTTAGTGAGCTTTTCTCCGATCCCGATGCTGCTGTCTTCTTCTTAGGGTCCCGAGTCTCAGATTATTTGCTCACATGCAGATTGGATAAGTGCCTGGTGAGAAAACGCATCCCTAACACATGCCTTTCCTGACTTAACCATGCATTATCTCTGGTTCTGTTTGAACAACTGCCTCTTAGTTTATATACAGGATCTGCATGAACACAGTAAAATATTCTGAAATTCCCATTCTTTGCAATATTATTCATAGTTTATTCTGATGCACACAGTTGAATTATTTTGTGTAGTCAGAAAAACACAAGGAAACATCCTTTTCTTGTATTCTATGCTTTCAGCCAATGATATTCTTGATTCCAGGTTCTCTTCAATTCACCGTGAATTCCATGTAGCGTCCTGCGTATATATTGAATTTTTTAATTTCCTTCTGAAAAATTTTACTTATGTGGTTTGGTAATTTCTGCACTCCTTTGGGTCACTTTTTCTATTGAATGCACCAGACAATGTACCTTTTCTGTTCCACTGTCTGTCTTCCACATTTCTTTGCATAATCTGGTGAGTGTGTCCAATGATACATCTATGAGTTGAAACATTTCTCTTGATATCCCATCAGTTTCTGGAGCCTTGTTTTTCTTCAGTGCCATTAGTGAAACTTGGATTTCTTCTTTTAATATCATTGGCTTTGAGTCAAATGCTACATTTAGAGATGGTTGAACACTGAACAATTCTTCTTGGTATATTGACTATGTATTTGGTCCATCTTCTTTTGGCGTTTCCTGCACTGTTCAACATTTTGTCCATAGAATCCTTCAGTAGTACAACGGACTGATTTCGTTGTTTTCTTCAGTTCTTTCCGCTTGAGAAATGCAGAATCTGTTCTTTCCTTTTGATGTTCTACCTCCCAGCCTTTACACGTCCCATCATAATGCTTTATGTTGTTCTCTAAAGCCACCATCAGACATTTTCAGCTCGGTTGTTTTACTTATTTATTCCAGTTGCATTAGCTTTTCCACATTCAAGTTGAAGTTTCAGAGTCTTTCTGACATCCACTTTGGTCTTTTCTTTGGTTTCTCCTCCTCCTCCTTTTTTTTTTCTAGTTCTTTTTTTAAAAAAACATTTTATTAGGGGCTCATACAACTGTTATCGCAATCCATACACACATCAATTGTGTAAAGCGCATTTGTACATCATTC